TATCCTGGGTTATCCTGGGTGGCTAACCCTCCCTATCCTGGGTTATCCTGGGTGGCTAACCCTCCCTATCCTGGGTGGCTAACCCTTCCTATCCTGGGTTATCCTGGGTGGCTAACCCTCCCTATCCTGGGTTATCCTGGGGTGGCTAACCCTCCCTATCCTGGGTTATCCTGGGTGGCTAACCCTCCCTATCCTGGGTTATCCTGGGTGGCTAACCCTCCCTATCCTGGGTGGCTAACCCTTCCTATCCTGGGTTATCCTGGGTGGCTAACCCTCCCTATCCTGGGTTATCCTGGGTGGCTAACCCTCCCTATCCTGGGTTGCTAACCCTTCCTATCCTGGGTTATCCTGGGTGGCTAACCCTCCCTATCCTGGGTTATCCTGGGTGGCTAACCCTCCCTATCCTGGGTTGCTAACCCTTCCTATCCTGGGTTATCCTGGGTGGCTAACCCTCCCTATCCTGGGTGGCTAACCCTTCCTATCCTGGGTTATCCTGGGTGGCTAACCCTTCCTATCCTTGGTTATCATGGATGGCTAACACTCCCTATCCTGGGTGGCTAACACTCCCTATCCTGGGTGGCTAACACTCCCTATCCTGGGTTATCCTGGGTGGCTAACCCTTCCTATCCTGGGTTATCCTGGGTGGCTAACACTCCCTATCCTGGGTTATCCTGGGTGGCTAACCCCCTCTACCCTTGGTTATCCTGGGTGGCATTGGTAAACGAGTACATCGCTAAGTGAGGAGAGGCTGTATTTAGTTACAGTAATTATTTGTTTACTGAGTCAGTGAGAGTAATTATTAATTTGTTATTTATTTAGCATATATTATTTATATTCTACTACAATATTTTCAACTTACGATGGGTTCTTTGGAACATAACCCCATTGTAAGTCAAGGAGCACCTTCCTGTGCCTTTAACAGTGATGTTTCTACTGTTGCTGTAATTCTAATCTTTTGATCATGTTGGTGCTTGAAAATAAAGACTGGGTGAATGTTTGGTTGTAAGAACTGTTTAACATGATTAATAATAATAATAGTAATCTGCGAGTACTTGTGCAGTAAATCATCGACTTACAAACACGTCGAGAATCTCGTGTATTGTCTATAATAATCATAGAGGAAGTCTTCAACTTTAGAACACGTTGGGGACTTTCTGTATTATATAGTTTAGTTAGTTTAATATGTTTATTATGCACCCCATACCCATCCTGTGGGCGGTAGTCAAAAGATTACAGAGATACATAATTGGTCCAGGGACTGGACTCCAAAGTTTTGATAGCTGAGCAAGTTACAAAGGTAATGAACTAGATCTGGTCATAATCATGACCAAGTTACAAAGGTAATGAGCTCCAGGTTGAGCTGGTCACACTCATGAATAATTGCAAAGGTAAAGAATCATAAACACATTAATCATGAGAATTTACGAAGGTAATGAGCTCCAGGTAGAGCTGGTCACAATCATGACAAGTTTCAAAGGTAATGAATGATAAACACGTTATGACATGATTACAATCATAGACAAATTACAGAGTAATGAGCAGTTAACAAACATAGTAGGGAATTCATCCATTGCCCCAACAATAGATGTTGCTAGGTGCCTGTCTCTCCTCGGCAGACAGCCATTGCAAACAGCAGCAAGTTGCCCCGGGATCTGCTGCTTGCACGAGCACCATCGACCCTCCCCAAGAGGTCCAAGAAGCCAGTGACTCCGTTAGCAGCCCCATGGAGAGCTGCCCTAGGGACATGTCAGCGTCCTGGTGGACGCCAAGTTGATTGAAGATCCCAGGCCCTCGTGTGCACGGATGTTGAAGCTTGAGGAACCTGGCAGCTGCCTCCCGGTCGAACTCCACGATGCTGTCCCTGTAGTGGAAGTTCCTGCGAGCCCGGCACTCCCTGCAGTGCCATCGCTGACATCGTGGGTTAGGGGAGAAGTACCCTCTATAGATGGGGTGACGCTGGGAGTTGGGTGGGTGAGGCGGGGGAGACGCGCAGGAGTGAGGCGTTATGAGAGGGTCACTGTTTACTACACACGCCCTCCCCCTCCCCCCCAGCAGTGAGGGGGGGGAGGCGCTGACTGGTCCTGACTCAACACCAAACCCTCTAAAACTGAACAACACTTCAACTATTTATGCTGAAACGATGCACTGGGATGTCCGTTCACTGCTCTGGTATCTTCTCAAAGCATTCACACTGAGTTCTGTTAAGTAGGGACCTGGTCAGCCTCTTTGACCCGGAGCTATCCTTGAAAATCCCGCAGCTAGCCCGCTACACAACCTGCCGCGTCGGCCAAGCCAACAGCTGTGTGTATTGTATAATAATGATATTATACACAATACAGCTAGCCGTCCACTTTTGTGAGTTTCACTTTCGCGAGCTTCGAATATTCGTGAATGCCCAGCCACCCAATCATAACATGTATATACAATATTTTATGAAGTTTTCATGTGTTTTATGATTGTGGTTCAATAGGTTAAGGAAGCAATATTGTTAGGCTAAGTAAATGCTATTATTAATATTCCCTGCAATATATTTGTGCATCAAAACATTTGCGACTGCTTCAGTACAGTACAGTGGACCCCCGCATAACGATCAGCTCCCAGCTCGACCAGTTATGTAAATGTATTTTTGTAAGTGCTTTTGTAGGTGTATTTTTGGGGGTCTGAAACGGACTAATCTAATTCACAATATCTCTTATGGGAACAAATTCGGTCTATAACGGCACCCAAACAGACTTCTGGATTGAAATAATATCGTTATCCGGGGGTCCACTGTATTATTATGTTTCCCTACATCATATTTGTGCACCAAACATTTGCGAATTTTCAAGATTCACAAGGTTCTTGATCCCCAACCCTCGCAAATATGGAGGGCCACCTGTAATGATATAATACACAAGATTCTCAATGTGTTTGTAAGTCAAGGACTAACTGTACAAGGTATATAGGCCATAGCTAACATCAGTAACATACTACTATGTACGTATATAGAAAATCCCTTGTTATGCAGAGCATTTCCTGCAACTTAGGTTATTGTATTTTGCGGCTTATTAGATGCATTTTTTCCTATAAAATGTCTCCCAAAAACCACTGCATCCTGTAAACTGAAGGTTAGTTACGGGAGCTATAAGTTTGGGGTGTGGGTTGGGCTGGAGCTCTCCCAGTTATATCCGATGCTGAACCATTGAAATAAAACAAGTCATAAGCTGTGAAATACGGTAATTTTGTCCCCAGGATGCGACCCACACCAGTTGGATTACTGGGTGAAGGCTCAAACCTCCACCACTAACTGGTCACAAACCATGCCATGTTTATTTCCCCTGTGTGACTTAGTTATTTTCTTTCTGTGAGCAGCGACCAACAAGATTTACTGTTGAGGTGAGCCACTGCGATCACTTGGTTCATAAAGACAGTGGACAGTACGATGCTGTCGAATATGAAGAACATCCTGAGAGATAGATCTGTCTTTGCTCAAAAGGTCAGTATTTTTTGCTCACAAGGTCATTGCCCTGCTCACAAGGTCATTGCCCTGCTCACAAGGTCATTGCCCTGCTCACAAGGTCATTGTCTTGCTCACATGGCCATTATCCTGCTCACAAGGTCATTATCCTGCTCACAAGGCCATTATCCTGCTCACAAGGTCATTGTCCTGCATACAAGGTCATTGTCCTGCTCACCAAATTAATTTCTTATAAGGTCATTTTCTTGGTCATAAGAACAGTTTTCTTGATTGTAAGATAATTTTCTTACCGAACAATTTATTTATTTTATTTATTTATTTATTTATTTATTTATGTCTTTGCAAATAGTACATTGAGATCTTGTATTTACAAATAATGGGTTGCAATGCAAAGAGAGCCTCTATTATACCTAGGCATTATGGGCCGACTTAACATTATTGGATTACAGACTACTTAACACTAAGAATTATGTCATAGTTGTACAGTAGAATATTAATTATGTCATAGTTGTACAGTATATTATTAATTGTAAGTGAATCTAATTTATATAAGACAAAAGATATATTCATATATTCAAAAAATGCTTTTTGTGAAAACAATGATTTAATTATATTCCTGTCAACAATGGATAAAAGGTTCAAAGAAATTGTTGAAATTATGATGTGGGAATACACAAGTGAGTATGTGTGTACTGAGTATTTAGCATTTAGTCTAGGGTGATTAAGTGGCTTTTGAGAAGAGTCTTAAATTGATTTTCAGACTGGGTTACTTAGTATCTTCTGGTAATTAATTCCATATTTTGGGGCCCTTTATGTGCATAGAGTTTTTACACAGTGTGATATGGACACGAGGTACATCAAAAAGAGATCTGTGTCTTGTATTATGATCATGTGTCCTGCTAGGGTTGGTGAGGAGAAGTTTGAGTGGAGGGTTTATATTTGCATGTATTGTTCTGTGTATGTAGTAGGCACATGAATAAGTATGGATGTTCTTAATGGTGAGCAGATTCAGACTTGAAAATTGGTGGAGTATGCTGGCAGGAGTGGAAATTTGTTATCATTCTGACTGCTGCCTTTTGCTGGGTTATTAGAGGTCTTAAGTGATTGAATGTTGTTGATCCCGATGCACAAATTCCATATGTGAGATAAGGGTATGTGAGTGAATGGTACAGTGCCAGCAGAGCTGATTGTGGAACGTAGTACCTTATCTTTGACAGTATGCCTACAGTCTTAGAGATTTTCTTGGTGATTTGTTGTATGTGTGTCTGGAACTTTAAGGCTACTGTCAAGGTGGATACCTAGGAATTTTCCCTCTGTAAGTCTTGTGACTGATGATCCGTTTAGCGTTATGTTAATTGGATCATTTGCAGCTTTGTTTCCAAACTGAATGAAATATGTTTTATCAGTATTCAGGGTAAGTTTATTAGTCATCATCCAGGCAGATATTTTCTGCAATTCGGCATTGACAGTGTATGCTAGTATGACTGGGTTTGGGTGGGAGAAGATGTAAGTAGTGTCATCTGCAAATAATATGGGTTTGAGTAGCTGTGATGCATTCGGTAGATCATTGATGTAGATGAGAAAGAGGAGTGGTCCAAGGATACTTCCTTGTGGGACTCCTACTGTGATTGGTTGGGTGAAAGAGTTTGCATCATTTGCATACACATATTGAGTTCTGTTACTAAGGTATGACTTTAGGTAGTTGAGGAGTGGCCGCTGATACCATAGTGCGTTAATTTGGAGTACAGCAGTTCATGGCCGACTGTATCAAAAGCTTTACGTAAATCAATGATAATGCCCAGCGGGACTTCTTTCTTTTCGAGTGCGGTATATATTAGTTCTAGCATGTGTATGATAGCATCATTTGTGCTTTTATTATTCCTGAATCCAAACTGACAAGGGTTTAAATGTTGTGTGAGACAAGGTAGGAATAGATCCGTCTATGAATTAATTTTTCAAAGATTTTAGAGAGCAGTGGTAAGTTAAATATTCGTCTATAGTTGTTCAAGTCAGCTTGGTCACCTCCTTTATGGATCGGAGTGATCCTCGCTATTTTGAGGATTAAACCATACCACGGGCGGGATTTGAACCTGCGGTCAGAGAGTCTCAAAACTCCAGACTGTCGCGTTAACCACTGGACCAGCTAGCGATGGTCTGGAGTTTTGAGACTCTCTGACCGTGGGTTCAAATCCTGCCCGTGGTATGGTTTGTTTGCAATCGTGTCATTACGATTTCGTGAGTCAGTTATTTTGAGGATTGTTGGGAAAGATGATTCAGTGGATTTGTTAAAGTGTGTTTCAGTAATTGGTAACAATACTTGAGAAGCTTTTTTGTACATAAAAGCAGACAAACTGTTTGTCTCCTGCCTTGTTTTTAAGGGTGTTGATGAGCGAGACTTCTAGTGGGTTGGTTGGAGCTAGGAATAGCGTATTTGGGTAGGTACCTATGAGATAGGCTGGACAGGTGTTTGAGCTTGGTATTTTGTTTGCTAGATTTTTTCCTATGGTGGAGAAGAAAACATTGAGTCTGTTTGCTGTTTCAGTTGGTGTGAGTAGGGGTTCGTCTGATTTTGTTAGTTTGATTGTTTTGTTTTTGGATAACTTTTTAGTTCCAAGAATTTCAGATAGAGTTTTCCAGGTTTTTTTCATATCACCTTTGATGTTATGTAATCTATTTTCATAATACAACTTTTCACTGTATGTAGAGATTGTATATAGTATTTTCACTGTATGTAGAGTTTGTATATATTTTCAAAGTATATACTAGAACTTGTATATATCTTCACAGTATATAGAACTTTTGTATCTTCTCACTGCATAGAATTTGTATATGTTTTCATTCATTTCATCGGTTGTTTCAGGTGGTGCCATATGCTACGTTGATCATCAGTGGTATATATGGGGCAGCGAATTCACCCAAACTTCTAACTATCCCTGATGAAGGGTCCTCCTGCACCTATAATACACTTTTGGCTCCCCTACCATGTAAGTTTCTTTATATTCCCAAGGATTTACAGGTTGGGTTTAAAAGTTCCTATCTTTATTTACAAAGCTGTTACTTAACTTCAACTCATTTGAAACCTTTTATTTTATGACCAAAATGGATTTGACTTTGTGGGTTATCTGGTGGGTATTTACAAATATGTATGGTAATTGTACTTGGGTGTACCTGTAGTTACTTCAAACAGAATGAAATTGGAGGCATATGTGGGCCAGAAATTTTCCCATTTGGTGAAACGACTTATTTATTATGTTGTACGAACATGTGCCATTTAGATCGCTTAGGAATAAATGATCCGGTGAAGTGATTTCTGGAGTAGGGGTACAGTCAGATGTAGTTGTGCTTACTGTCCTTGCGTGTAAAGCTCATTTCTGCTGTCCTTGGGTGGGGGTACTTTGACATTATTGGCCTTGTCACACAGTAAGGCAACCCACACCCCTCCAGTTTAAGGTTTGGGGAAATGAGGATCTGTCCAGGCTGGTTTCAACAAGAAAATAAATCTCTTGCTCTGTTCTCTATTTTGTCAAAATTCCCGATGAGACATGGAATCCAGGAAATTTGAGCACACTAAAGGGTGTAAGCAGTCTTGCCTCTAAAAGGTCTTGCAGCCTCTACTGTTTAGAGAAAATTTCCCCAGGATATCAACCTCATCCAGGGTACCCACTCCCCATTTATTCTTACGCTGCTCCAGCATTATTTCATGGTGCCTAGAGCCATATCTGTGTTTTTCTTAGAAGCAAAGGGCAACCTTCCCATTTTTTTCCTAGGCTAATATAGCTGAAGTGGTGATTGAATGTAACTAGAGCAGCTAGAAAATCCTCTCCTGGATAAGTAATGCTGAGTACAGTCATCTCCATATGCATGGAATCTAGGATGGTTGAAGGCCCTTGAAATAAACGTTCCATAAAAAAACAAGCACACTTACTGTGTCACTTCACTAGTTTGTCTTTGACCTCTTCCATCAAAACTACACTAAAGAATACCTTGAAGGTAATTACTGAGAAGGTAGTGAGTTAGCTGGAACTCCTAGTGCATGTATTTTGCCAAGATCTCTGGGCCATACTGGGTGGAAATGTAGCAATGTCCAGTGTACTAAAAAGCTGACTGTGGTTTCCATCTAGTGACTGGTGCCCCCTAGTGGAGAATTATTAACGACAATCAGCAGAAGATGACTTTCTGAACATTGATGGTCACAAAAAGTGAATGGAGGGAAAAATCATCCCATTGTTGTGAGGTTATTGTTGGAATCTTGCCATGATTGACAAAACTGACCACAAGTCTGTGGTTTTTTGATTTCCATTCTTCTTTTGTAACAGGGAAATACTTTGCATCTTCACAGAAAAGGGCCCATTCCCACTGCTGGGCCCACTGCTGATAATGGAGGTTAGAGGTGCTGCTAGATGGTTGCCATCTACTCAGCAATTTTGGCTCACCTATCTGGACCCACAGCCTTTTTTCTTCCTCTCTGTTGCCTATACTCACCTATTTTTATTTCTCAGTTCTTACTTATGGAACTTAGTCCTATTTTAAATTATAATAATATGATAATAATAATAATATAACCCAAATAAAAGTGAACTCATTCTGTTTGGGTGCCCACTATAGACTACTGGGTCTCTAAATAGGTAATAATCAAAAAAAACCACAACTAATATTTTATTATTATTATTATTAGGATATGAAGATAAGTGCTTTTTAACAGGAGATTCACCATCACTGCCACACAGATGCTGGCATCGTGACGCCAGCAGATCCGGGAGGATCAAGAGTCATGACAAAGGTACCACCATTGCACACCTTTCTCTAACAATCCCAAACCAAAATAAAGACCCCAAACGGGTACACAAGTAAGAAAGCGAGAGAAATAATGACAGCAGTTAGTGGTTTCTTTGTATTACAGTATTTCTTAACATGTAAATCACACATTGTGATAATATTGTGGATCCCTGTTACAGCTTCAGGCCCGGGTACTGGTGTGCAGCATGACATAGCCACACAGCTGCCCAGGAACCACGGATTTGTTCGGGTCTCTCTGCGCCTCACTGTCACATCTTCCCAGTTGATGCTCCAAGCCCTGAGGACATCATCCATCCACAAGTCATGGGTTATTTTTTTGATGTTCATTTGTGAATTCAGGGGACAGCTTTGATGTTCAGTTATTAAATTCATGAAAGTCTGAGTGACCTTTGGCTACAAGACTGACAAGTCGGTGACCTACCTTGAGTTTACTGGAAGGGTTCGGGGTAACACCCCCGCAGCCGGTTGACCCAGGCTCAGGGTGGATCTGGGTCTGATCAACCCAGGGTGTTACACGGTGCACCAAGCTGACTACGAAACAGCCTGTTGGTCAGTACTGCTTTAGGGCCTGTCCATCCCTTTTCTAAAACCCACCCAGGGTCATTAGTAACCCCCTTATGTATGCTGGGGGCATTGAACAGTCTTGGGCCCTGGACACTTATTGTTTGTCTGGTACTCTGGCACCCTGCTTTTCATTGAGGAATGTTGCATTCCTGCAAGCTTTGCTTTCATTGGAGTAAATTTCGTGGCATTTTGGGTAACACCCTCCAGGACCTGCCAAGTGTATATTATATGCATCTCTCTTGCCTGCTTTCGGGGGAAAAACACAGAAAAGGGACCTAAACCCGTTCCCAGTAGTTTAGGTGCCTTATCCATTTGTGTGTCCATGAAAGTTCTTTGTACACTCTCCAGGTCAGCAAGGGTCGCCAGCCTTGAAGGGGCATTGTGTACAGCTATCCAGGGTAGGGGAGAACAAGTGGTTTAAAGAGAATCTCATGGTTGGTGTCCAAAGTTTTAAAGTTCTCATTATCCATCTATCACTTTCCTACAGATGGGGTAGATTATGTGTGGTCTTTGATTTGCATCCCTGCATTATCACTCCGGTCCTTCACATTACTTTTGCTCTATTGTATTTAGAATATGCTGCATGTATGATAATTATTAACTAGTGTCCCTGTAACTGATAAACTAACTTCTGGAAAAGGCTAGACAAGTAAAGCAGCAGCGGGTCAACTGGTCACAGCTAGTAAGCAGCAGGTACTCGGGGTCACAAAGTAAACAGCAGCAGCAGGTCACACTGGGTCCCCAACTAGTAAGCAGCAGAGGTACTCTGGGTCACAACTAGTAAGCAGCAGGTCACTCTGGGTCACAGCTAGTAAGCAGCAAAGTACTCGGGGTCACAACTAGTAAGCAGTAGCTCAGGTCACTCTGGGTCACAACTATAACAGCACGGGGTCACAACTGAAAAAGGCAGCAGGTCACACTGGGGTACTAGCAATAACGGGTCACATGGGTCACAATAGAAGCAGGTTGCAATGGGTCACAACTAGCAATCACAAAGGTCAACTGGGTGACAACTACAAGCAGCAGTAGGTTACCTGGTCACAGTAAGCAGCATGTCACACTGGGTCACAACTAGCGTACAGTAGGTTATCTGGTCACACTAAGTAAGCAGCAGCAGGTCCACTGGGTCACAACTAGCAAGTAGCCTGGTTTTACTGGTCAAAAACTAGAAACCCAGCGTCAAAACTGGGTCTAACTACAAGGGCAAGCAGGTCACACTGGTCAGAACTAGGAAGCTGTGCATGACAAGGGACTTTCCATGGAATGTACTTTAGAAAAAAAATGAACTGTACTCCTGAAATAGATTGTACTCCTGAAATAGACTGTACCACTGAAATAGACTGGTCTGCTGAAATAGACTGTACTCCTGAAGTAGACTGTATTCCTGAAGTAGACTGTACCACTGAAATAGACTGTTCTGCTGAAATAACTGTACCACTGAAATAGACTACTACTGAAGTAGGTTGTACTCCTGAAGTAGACTACTCCTGAAATAGACTGTACTCCTGAAGTAGACTGTACTCCTGAAATAGACTGTACTCCTGAAGTAGACTGTACTCCTGAAGTAGACTGTACTCCTGAAGTAGACTGTACTACTGAAGTAGACTGTACTACTGAAGTAGATTGTACTGCTGAAGTAGACTGTACTACTGAAGTAGACTGTACTCCTGAAGTAGACTGTACTCCTGAAGTAGACTGTACTCCTGAAGTAGACTGTACTCCTGAAGTAGACTGTACTCCTGTAGTAGACTGTACTACTGAAGTAGACTGTACTCCTGAAGTAGACTGTACTCCTGAAGTAGACTGAAACTCCGAATAGACTGTACTCCTGAAGTAGACTGTACTCCTGAAGTAGACTGTACTACTGAAGTAGACTGTACTCCTGAAATAGACTGTACTCCTGAAATAGACTGTACTCCTGTAGTAGACTGTACTCCTGAAGTAGACTGTACTCCTGTAGTAGACTGTACTCCTGAAGTAGACTGTACTACTGAAGTAGACTGTACTCCTGAAGTAGACTGTACTCCTGAAGTAGACTGTACTCCTGAAGTAGACGGGTACTCCTGAAGTAGATTTGTACTCCTGAAATAGACTGTACTCCTGAAATAGACTGTACTCCTGTAGTAGACTGTACTCCTGAAGTAGACTGTACTCCTGTAGTAGACTGTACTCCTGAAGTAGACTGTACTTCCTGAAGTAAAACCTGTACTCCTGAAGTAGACTGTCTCCTGATTTAGACTGTACTCCTAAGTAGACTGTACTACTGAAGTAGACTGTACTCCTGAAGTAGACTGTACTCCTGAAGTAGACTGTACTCCTGAAAGTAACTGTACTACTGAAGTAGACTGTACTACGGGAAGTAGACTGTACTCCTGAATTTGACTGTACTCCTGAAGTAGACTGTACTCCTGAAGTAGACTGTACTCCTGAAGTAGCCCTGTACTACTAAGTAGACTGTACTCCTGAAGTAGACTGTACTCCTAAATAGACTGAAACTCCTGAAGTAGACTGTACTCCTAAAGGGAGACTGTACACTGAAGTAGACTGTACTCCTGAGTAGACTGTACTCCTGAAGTAGACTGACTCCTGAAGTAAAACTGTACTCCTGAAGTAGACTGTACTCCTGTAGTAGACTGTACTCCTGAAGTAGACTGTACTCCTGAAGTAGACTGTACTACTGAAGTAGACTGTACTACTGAAGTAGACTGTACTCCTGAAGTAGACTGTACTCCTGAAGTAGACTGTACTCCTGAAGTAGACTGTAACTCCTGAAGTAGACTGTACTCCTTATAGACTGTACTCCTGTTAGACTTACTCCTGAGTAGACTGTACTCCTGAAGTAGACTGTACTCCTGAAGTAGACTGTACTCCTGTAGTAACGACATGAATAGACTGTACTACTGAAGTAGACTGACTTGAAGTAGACTGTACTCCTGTAATAGACTGTACTCCGAATAACTGTACACTGAGTAGACTGTACTCCTGAGTAGACTGTACTCCTGAAGTAACGTACTCCTGAAGTAGACTGTACTCCGGAAGTAGACTGTACTCCTGAGTACTGTACCCTGAAGTAACTGTACTCCTGAATTTAGACTGTACTCCTGTAGTAGACTGTACTCCTGAAGTAGACTGTACTCCTGAAGTAGACTGTACTCCTGAAGTAGACTGTACTCCTGTAGTAGACTGTACTACTGAAGTAGACTGTACTACGAAGTAGACTGTACTCTGAAAGTAGACTGTACTCCTGAAGTAGACTGAAATCCTGTAGTAGACTGTACTCCTAAAAGGTAGACTGTACTCTAAGTAGACTGTACTCCTGAAGTAGACTGTACTCCTGTAGTAGACTGTACTCTGAAGTAGACTGTACTACTGAAGTAACGTAAGAAGTACTGTACTCCTGAGTAGACTGTACTCCTGAATAGACTGTACTACGAAGTAGACTGTACTCCTAAGTAGCTGTACTCCTGAAGTAGACTGTACCGAATAGACTGTACTCTGTTAGATGACCCCTGTAGTAGACTGTACTCCTGAAGTAGACTGTACTCCTGAAGTAGACTGTACTCCTGAAGTAGACTGTACTCCTGTAGTAGACTGTACTCCTGAAGTAGACTGTACTCCTGAAGTAGACTGTACTCCTGTAGTAGACTGTACTCCTGAAGTAGACTGTACTCCTGAAGTAGACGTACTTCCTGAGAAGTAGACTGTACCCCTAAGTAGAACTGTACTCCTGAAGTAGACTGACTCCTGAAGTAGACTGTACTCCTGTAGTAGACTGTACTCCTGAAGTAAGACTGGTACTCCTGAAGTAGACTGTCTCCTGAAGTAGACTGTACTCCTGAAGTAGACTGACCCTGTAGTAGACTGTACTCCTGAAGTAGACTGTACTCCTGAAGTAGACTGTACTCCTGAGTAGACTGTACTCCTGAAGTAGACTGTACTCCTGAAGTAGACTGTACTCCTGAAGTAGACTGTACTCCTGTAGTAGACTGGTAATTTTCCTGAAGTAGACTGTACTCCTGAAGTAGACTGTACTCCTGAAGTAGACTTACTCCGAAGTAGACTGTACCCCTGAAAGTTATTTGTAGACTGTACTCCTGAAGTAGACGTACTCAAAACTTCCCCTGAAGTAGACTGTACTCCTGAAGTAGACTGTACTCCTGAAGTAACTGTACTCCTGTAGTGGACTGTACTCCTGAAGTAGACTGAAACTCCTGTATTTAGACTGTACTCCTGTAGTAGACGGGACTCCTGAGTAGACTGTACTCCTGAAGTAGACTGTACTCCTGAAGAAACTGTATCCTGAGTAGATGTACCCTGAAGTAGACTGTACTCCTGAAGTAGACTGTACTCCTGAAGTAGACTGTACTCCTGAAGTAGACTGTACTCCTGAAGTAGACTGTACTCCTGAAGTAGACTGTACTCCTGTAGTAACTTATCCTGAAGTAGACGTACTACTGAAGTAACTGTACTCCTGAAGTAGACTGTACTCCTGAAGTAGACTGTACTCCTGAAGTAGACTGTACTCCTGAAGTAGACTGTACTCCTGAAGTAGACTGTACTACCAGGATCATTCTCTACAACCTGTATTCCTTTAAAATAATATTATTGTAATTATTATTGTTATTGGTATTAATCTATTATTAATGTACATTTTAATTTTCAGCTGAAACTGAGTCGAGTGCAGCAAGCAAAATTAGTCTCTGTGACTGATATTTCATAATGACTAATATTTCATAATGCTAAAGCTCCCGCTTCACACATGGAGGGCCTGGGTTTGATTTCTGGTGGGCGGAAGCATTTCAACATGTTTCCTTACACCTGTTGTCCTGTTCACCTAGCAGCAAATAGGTACCTGGGTGTCGACTGGTGTGGGTCGCATCCTGGGGGACAAGATTGAGGACCCCAATGGAAATAAGTTACAGTCCTCGATGACACACTGACTTTCTTGGGTTATCCCGGGTGGCTAACCCTCCGGGGTTAAAAATCTGAATGAAATCTTATCTCTTATCTTATAATGGCTGTGTATATATGTGTAATGTTGATGGTTATAATGTTCCAGGTGTGGTAATTGCTGTGCCTGGCTGTGTCTGCTGCAACATTGATCAACACAGCAACATTGACCAGTCTGAGAAGTGCTGTGCCAGGCTGTCTGCTGCAACCGTGATCAACACAGCAACATTGACCAGTCTGAGGAGTGGAGACAACCATACTAGTAACATTTAGTATTATACCTGGAGAGGGTTACTCCAGGTATGTGGAGATGCAGCAGCTGGTGATGTCGTCAGAAGTGGGCGGGGCCCACCTGTAAGGCATTTCCAGGTTACAAGTCAACTGAAATTTGGTTATTGAAGCAGATAGTAATTATATTAGGTGGGAAGGTGGTGGGGAGAGTATAGGAAAGATTGTAAGGAATTTATATCAAAAGTAGCTTAGTGGGAAGTATTAGCTTAGTTCCTGACCAGAGATGAAATCTCTGGCCAGGAAATAATGGGGAATGTATTCTATAGGTTACCTTGAATGGGGTTTACTTGGAGTTTATCCGGAGAGGGTTTCGGGGGTCAACGCCCCCACGGCCCAGTCTGAGACCAGGCCTCATGGTGGAACGGTCTGATCAACCAGGCTGTTACTGCTGGCTGCACGCAAGCTGACGTATGAACCACAGCCCGGTTGGTCAGGTACTGACCTAGATAAAAATTGGAGAAATGGGTTGTAAAGCTTAGAACTGAAGACTGATTAGATTTTAAGAAGTTTTAGTTAGTCTAATGTCTTTATTATGCAGCTGATACCCATCCTGTAAGACTGTAGGACTCAGAGATGAAATGTGTGATATATCATGGCTCACTTAGTTGGCTGCCTTCTAGCATACATCAGGGGGATTACCAATAGACCCATGGCTGTCTTCATGAAGGTGCTGGACAGGCAGTATGCTGGGAGGCAGTTGAACAGGGCCCTTTGGGCCCCCGACATTTATTGTGTTCTCTTAATGTGCTAATGGCACCCCTGCTTTTCATTGGGGGGATGTTGCATCGTCTGCTGAGGCTTTTGCTTTCATATTGAGTGGTTTTTGTGTGCAAGTTTGGTACTAATTCCTCTAGGATTTTCCAAGTGTATATAATCATGCAACTTTCTCTCGCCTGCGTTCTATGGAGTACAGGTTTAGGAACTTCAAATGTTCCCAGTAATTGAGGTGTTTTATCTCAGTTATGCCTGCCGTGAAGGTATTCTGTACATTTTCTAGGTCAGCAATTTCACCTGCCTTGAAAGGTGCTGTTAGTGTGCACCAATATTCCAGCCTATATAGAACAAGTGACCTGAAGAGTGTCATCATGGGCTTGGCATCCGTAGTTTTGAAGGTTCTCATTATCCATCCTGTCATTTTTCTAGCAGATGCGATTGATACAATGTTATGGTCCTTGAAGGTGAGATCCTATGACATGATCACCTCCAAGTCTTTAACATTAGTTTCTTGCTCTATTGTGTGGTTGGAATTTGTTGTATACTCCGATGTAGCTTTAATTTCCTCATGCTTTTCATATCGGAGTACAGTGGACCCTCAGCTAACGATATTAATTCATTCCTGAAAGCTCATCGTTTGCTGAAATTATCGTTAGCTGAATTAATTTTCCCATAAGAAATAATGGAAATCAAATGAATCCGTGCAAGACATCCCAAAGTATGAAAAAAAAATTTTTTTACCACATGAAATATTAATTTTAATATACACAAACTGACACTTACCTTTATTGAAGATCTGGTGATGATTGATGGGATGGGAGGAGGGGAGAGTGTGGAAATTGTTAATGTTTAGAAGGGGAATCCCCTTCCATTAGGACTTGAGGTATCAAGTCCTTTTCTGGGGTTACTTCCCTTCATTTAATGCCACTAGGACCAGCTTAAGAGTCACTGGACCTCTGTCATACAACATATCTGTCCATAGTGCTCTGTACCTTTCGTTCCTTTATGATTTGTCTAAAGTGGTTCACAACATTGTCATTGTAACAGTCACCAGCACGGCTTGCAATAGCTGTGTGAGGGTGATTTTTATCCATAAAGGTTTGCACTTCAAGCCACTTTTCACACATTTCCTTAATCTCTTTTTTTCAATTCCATACTAATTCTCACCCTTTTTACCACAGGGATGGCACTAGAAGCTTTCTTGGGGTCCAAGGTGACTTATTTTGCAGCTACAAGCACTAAAAACACTGGGATAATGTGAAATGTACCGAATGTATGCATAGATGCGACCGCACTGGCTGGCTTGTAAACATTGGCGCTCAGGCCACACATGGACGCGTCTCGAACGAATCGCATAGGATGAGTTTTTTAGCCTTAGCTGAGGCTAAATTTTTGCGTTAAATTGTATCGTATGCTGGATTTAACGTTAGGTGATGCCATCGTTAGCTGAGGGTCCACTGTAATTGAAATTTCTCATCATTTAACTTCGTATTGTTTTCTGCGGCCCATTTAAAGATTTGGTTGATGTCTACCTGGAGTCTTACAGTGTCTTCAATGGAGGTCACTGTCATGCAAATTCAGGTGTCATCTGCAAAGGAAGACATGGTGCTGCTGTATGATAATTTATGTACAGTGGACCCTCGCCTAACGAACGCATCGCATAACGTTAAATCTGCCTAACGAAGCTTTTGAGTGTAAAAATTTTGGCCCTCTTAACGATAAAAAACTCGCCCAACGTGATTCCTCCCAAACCTGTCCGTCCAGCCTGAGCGCCTCAGCTGCCTTGCCGTCATTGTTTACAAGCCAGAGTGGCCGGTTGCATGCATTCATTTGATACATTTTGTATTATTCCATTGTTTATAGTGCTTGTAACTGCTAAATAAGCAACCATGGGCCCAAAGAAAGCTTCTAGTGCCAACCCTGTGGTAAAAAGGGTGATAAATACTATCGTACCACAGTCAGCTCCTGCTGCACCACCGTCAGCATTTGCTGGATCAGTCAGCTGTTGCTGCACAATGGTCAGCTGTTGCTGGACCAGTCAGCTGTTGCTGGATCAGTCAGCTGCTGCTGCACCATGGTCAGCTGTTGCTGGACCAGTCAGCTGTTGCTGGACCAGTCAGCTGTTGCTGGATCAGTCAGCTACTGCTGCACCATGGTCAGCTGTTGCTGGATCAGTCAGCTGCTGCTGCACCACAGTCAGCTGTTGCTGGACCAGTCAGCTGTTGCTGGATCAGTCAGCTGCTGTGCAGTCAGTCAGCTGCTGCTGCACCACAGTCAGCTGTTGCTGGACCAGTCAGCTGTTGCTGGATCATCAGCTGCTGCTGCACCACAGTCAGCTGCTGCTGCAACCACAGTCAGCTGCTGCTGCACCACAGTCAGCTGTTGCTCCACCATCAGCTGTTGCTCCCCCAGTCACTGTTGCTGCACCACCAAACGCTGTACTACTCAAAGATGTGGAGAGAGTGTTGTTGGTGTGGCTTAACGTGAAACAGTTACCGAGAAACAATTAACCCCAGAGGGTTAGCCACCCGGGTAACCCAAGAAAGTCATGCATCATCGAGGCTGTCTAACTTATTTTCCCTTGGGGGCCTTAACTTTGTCCCCAGGATTCGACCCACAACAGTCAACTAACACCCAGGTGAACAGAAAAAATGCCCGGAACTAGTGCTCATATTGGTGAATTTAAGGCCAGCAAAGGTTGGTTTGAGAGATTTAAGAATTGTAGTGGCATACACAGTGCAATAAGACATGGCAAAGCTGAAAAATTCATCTCCCAACAAGTGGTCAATTGTGACGAAACAGGCCTGTTCTGGAAGAAAATGCCAAACAGGACCAACATTACTCAAGAGGAAAAGGCACTCCCAGGACACAAGCCTTTGAAAGACAGGCTAACTCTCATGTTTTGTTGTAATGCTAGTGGGGATTGCAAAGTGAAGTCTTTACTGGTGTATCACTCTGAAAATTCCAGTGTTAAAGAAAAACAGTGTCTCATCACTCATCAGTACTCTTCAATAAAGGTAAGTGTCATTTTAACATTTATTTATGTAGTTATTGTGCATATCTTATTGTTTTCTTTGTAGGGAAATGTATATTTCATGAATTTTTTTTTTTTTTAATACTTTTGGCTGTTTGGAACGGATTAATTGGATTTCCATTATTTCTTATGGGGAAAATTAACTCGGCTAACGATAATTTCGGCTAATGATGAGCTCTCAGGAACGGATTAATATCGTTAGGTGAGGGTCCACTGTATTTATGTGTACCTGAATGAACCTATTAATCACCAGTCTTAATCCATAGTAAGCAAGTATATTTAGGGACAGGTATGCATTATCATACATAGTATAAATTACCTAGGATAACCCGAAGTTAAAGTGACTTAGATCAGTTTTAATTATCCTGAAATACATTACATACCAGGCTGCCTTTTGTGTCTACCAGTATTTTATTACATGTAAACTATATTGTGCTCCTGGAGTATAATGAGAAATGTAAATATTTGAATGTAAATTTGACCTGCACCCCATTCCCAGCCTGTGGGGGCACCCCATACCCAGCATGTGGGTGCACCCCATACCCAGCCTGTGGGTGCACCCCATACCCAGCCTGTGGGTGCATCCCATACCCAGCCTGTGGGTGCACCCCATACCCAGCCTGTGGGGGTACCCCATTCCCAGCCTGTGGGGGCACCCCATTCCCAGCCTATGAGGGCACCCCATTCCCAGCCTGTGAGTGCACCCCATACCCAGCCTGTGGGTGCATCGCATACCCAGCCTGGGGGTGCACCCATACCCAGCCTTGGTGCACCCCATACCCAGCCTGTGGGTGCACCCCATACCCAGCCAGTGGGGGCACCACATACCCAGCCTGTGGGGTGCCCCCACAGGCTGGGTATGGGGTGCCCCGTTTCGCTCTCCAGGAGCTTTATCAAGCCGTACACACACAGTTTGATAAAGCTCCTGGAGAGCGAAACGTTGCCACAATAAAATGTCTCATTAGTTGCACTTACACCCTTTTACCTAACATATTGTGGGTAATTCTACCAACATTAATACAAAACTATGTAAATATACTGTACCTGCATTATTATTATAAATGATAATTATACTTATGTGTACCTGTACCTAAATAAACTTAAACACTGTGCTGGCATGCAGGTACACACTGTGCTGGCACGCAGGTACACACTGTGCTGGCACGCAGGTACACAAACCCTGCGGCACGCAGGTACACACTGTGCTGGCACGCAGGTACACACTGTGCTGGCACGCAGGTACACACTGTGCTGGCACGCAGGTACACACTGTGCTGGCACGCAGGTACACACTGTGCTGGCACGCAGGTACACATTAAAATCACTAAGAGTGTCTTATTCATCTTGAAGATGCCATATTAATAATAAGTGGGAAGTACAGTGCCTGCACTCTGAAGGAGGGGTGTTAATGTTGCAGTTTAAAAACTGTAGTGTAAAGCACCCTTCTGGCAAGACAGTGATGGAGTGAATGATGGTGAAAGTTTTTCTTTTTTGGGCCACCCTGCCTTGGTGGGAATCGGCCAGTGTGATAATAAATAAAAAAAATAATAATAATAACGTGAATAATCACTGAGGTGCATCAAATATCGTAAATAACTAACTTATTAGTTATTAGTTTGTAGTGATATATTGAAAAGATTAGCCAAAGGTATGCTAAGTTCCTCTTTACATTCCTTTAAAACCCTTGCAACCAGTTCATAAGGGCCTGGGGATTTGTTAGGCTTTAATTTCTCTATTTGGCTGAGGACCATGTCACTAGTTACCCTAATTGCGCATAGTTTATTATTATCCTTTTCTGCATAATTTATTGTTTCTATAATTTTGCTAGTATCTTCTTGAGTAAAAACTGAGAGGAAGTAGATATTGAAAAGTTCACACATTTCCTTATCACTGTCAGTGATCTGACCTGAGGTACTTTTAAGTGGGCCTATCTTGTCCCTAATCTTACTTCTGTATACCTGAAAGAATCCTTTTGGGTTAGTCTTCGAATCCCTTGCAAGTTTAACCTCATAATCCCTTTTTGTTTTTCTTATTCCTTTTCTTATTTCTCATTTTAATTGAATAGTATATTGATTTCTTAACTGATCTTCCCCTCTTTTGATATGCCTATATATGCCTCTCTTTTGACCAGTGAGATGTTTTAATCTATTGTTTATCCATTTTGGATCATTGTTGTTAGATCTAATTTCCCTACTTGGGACAAAAGTCGTCTGGGCAGCCAGCGCTATGCTCTGAAATATATCATATTGGCAACCAACTCTACCTACCTGACACATAATAAGGTCGTCCCAATTTAACCCACACAGGTAATTAGTCATACCCATGAAGTCGGCCAAGCAGAAATCTGGGACAGCGACTTGATTGCAGTTATCTGGATAATATTAGGGTAGAGCCCTACCCCAATATTTGTGTTATACATTACAGCAGGGCCCCGCTTTACGGCGTTTCACTTTACGGCGTTCCGCTAATACGGTCATTTCAAATTATGACCAAAACTCGCTATACGGCTCCCCCCCACCTGACTTTCTAATACGGTCACCGTGCCCCACCTTGTTTGTTTACATTCTTCGTGAGCTCAGTAAGCACTAAGTCTCTCCATTTTGTCTGGAAACTCCAAAATTTCAAATGTTTTTAAAAGTTATTTCATATTTTATATATACTCTGATAAAGTGGACCCCCGGTTAACGATATTTTTTCAATTCAGAAGTATGTTCAGGTGCCAGTACTGACCGAATTTGTTCCCATAAGGAATATTGTGAAGTAGATTAGTCCATTTCAGACCCCCAAACATACACATACAAACGCACTTACATAAATACACTTACATAATTGGTCGCATTCGGAGGTGATCGTTATGCGGGGGTCCACTGTAATTATACTTATGTATACCTGTACTTAAATAAACTTACATACTGTGCTGGCATGCAGGTACACATTAAAATCAGTAAGAGTGTCTTATGTCTCCAGACGTCATATTAGTAATGATAATAATAATCATCGAGTCTCATTTAAATGTCATATATTACGTTAAATACACATTTTCATTAATCCATCTATGATATTTTTTCAAAATTATATAATAAACACGATACATAACATAAAAAGATGATAAATACACCCCACAATAGAAAAAATAAACATAAATATGAGATGTGGTAGCAGACGACTTGCACAAGTGACGCCATATTAGAAATGCTAATAATAATAATAATAATAATCACCGAGTCTCATTAAATGTTGTATATTACGTTAATATACACATTTTCATTAATCCATCCATGATATTTTTTTCAAAATTATATAATAAACACGATACATAACATAAAAAGATGATAAATACACCCTACAATAGAATAAATAAACATAAATATGAGATGTGGTAGCCAGATAACTTGTACAAGCGATGCCAAGAATAACATTTTCTCTAATCTAACAAGAGAAAATGTGTTACTGGGGGTAACTGTAGAAAATTATTCCTTTTGTATGTATGTAAGTTTATTCAGGTATACACAAATACAGTTACATAGATTATCATACATAACAACATATGTGTAGAGAACCTAGGATAACCCAAAAAAGTCAGAGTGACTTATTTCCATTGCCTTCACTCAGAGCATCATTTCTTCTCAAAATGATGTTACATGAGAATGGGAGTGTTCTTCTTTATTTATTCTACCATATCAATGTAGAGACAACCTGTACACAATGTAACTTGTACACAAACCAGACGTGTACACTTCGTTTACAAAACTTACCTTCGCCTGGTTTGTTTACATAACTCTGCGCCTGTCCTCTCTCATGCACTCATTCTTTCTCTCTCTCATTTATTCGTTTTATCTCATTTACTTACTCCTGACCGTACATTAAGACTACATATATTTTAAGGTAAGTAATGAGTGAACTGTATATACATTTTATCGCTCTGGGATGCTTAAATGTAATAGAATATTATGTGTAGGTGTGTTGGCCTGGTATGGTAGCCCGGCTGACTACCATACATACCACACTTGATTTTTTACAATAAATACTACTCATCTCACCCTATATTTTAAGGTAAGTAATGAGTGAACTGTATATACATTTTATCGCTCTGGGATGCTTAAATATCATAGAATTGTATGTGTGGGTGGGGTGGCTTGGTATGGTAGCCTGGCTGACTACCATACATACCACACTTGATTTTTTACAATAAATACTACTCATCTCACCCTATATTTTAAGGTAAGTAATGAGTGAACTGTATATACATTTTATCGCTCTGGGATGCTTAAATATCATAGAATTGTATGTGTGGGTGGGGTGGCCTGGTAAGGTAGCCTGGCTATTACCATACATACCACACTTGATTTCTTACAATAAATACTACTTGTCTCACCCTAGATTAAGACTATAAATATTTTAAGGTAAGTAATGAGTGCACTATGTGTGTATTGTACTTTTTTATTGTTTTTTGATGCCTGGTTCTATTGCTAACTTAATATATGTTAGTGTAAACTTGTTATCTAGTGTTTGTATGCATTTGTAAGTGGATAAAAAGGGTGTTCCACTTTACGGCGGTTTCCGCTTTACGGCGGTAGCCTGGAACCTAACCAGCCGTATAATTGGGGCCCTCCTGTATTGTAGAAGCATTGGGATTGAGTTGGATATGGGGATCTATGACCTAAAATCATTAATAACTTGAAAGTTGCTGTGCAAACAATTACCCATTCCAGTGGCAGACAACACACTCCCCCCAAACTTGAACTTGTTTAATAAACAAAATATGCAATCATACTACTGTGCCTACAGTATACAGGACATTCGTTCTCAATATAAGCCTTTCTATGAACTTTTTCCTTTTAATAGGTGCAACAAGACAAAAAAGCTGACATCACCCCACGTGTCCAACTCAACCTGTGTGAAAATTCAATGCTCATAAATGGCCTTAAGATCTGGAACTCCGTCTGAAGCATTGAAAGGCTCCCTGTCTGCCACCCATTTCAAAGCTGTTAAAAAACACCATCTCCTTAGCATAACTGAAACAGCACTCTGTTATGTCTAACAAAACCAGCTTTCCTCCAGTTCTGTCCCTGTTCTTCCTTCAACACCTATACATAATTGGTAACATATATTGTCCTATTTAATTATATTGTAATCTAAAGTAGCTTACTGTATCTTCAACATTTCTATATTCAGTCACTATAAAACTGAGGATCTCTGAATTAGTACTTCGAAATAATATGTCTCTTTTGTGATAGACTTTTTGTCATTAGGTGTCTTATTGTAGTTAATTGCATAAGAATTCTTATTGAATAATATGTATCTTAATTAATATGGCTTACAATTAGCTGGTCAAAATGCATTACATAATTTGTGGCCATCGTTTGTGCCTACGTTTATATTAATTCATGTAAATTACATTATATGGTTTAAAGAAAAAAAGTACATGTATTAGTGTCAAAAATACTAAATGTGGTTTGTTGTGTTGCCAGACTGTTGAATATTGTGTGTTGCTGTATCAACATGTGAGGACAAAGACTGTTGCAACATGTAACCAAAAATACTGCTGGAACAAGTGTAGAAGCCTTCAAGAGGAAACTGGACAAGTATCTTCACCAGGTGCTGGATCAACCAGGCTGTGATGGAGTGGGTCAGGGGACCACCAGCAGTAACATCCTGGTGGAGCAGGCAAGCACCAGATGAGCCTGACCCCTGGCTGGGCTCTGGCAGTAGAATAACACTCAGAACTCATCAGAGGTTAATGTTAGTTTATCAATAGTGTGTGTGTGAGGAGTTTATAATAATAATAATATATTTTATTTTATTTTGACATGATACATGTATGTAC